CCCCTCTTTTTTTGCTTTTGAAAATGTATGATGTCTTTGCTGCTAAAGAAAAGAACAAATCTTGCTGCCCTACGAATCTTTAAACAGACTCTGATCTGTAGAGTAACTCAGGGCTATCTCTGTGAAGTTTGTAAAGCTGTCTAGTCCTTTAAGAAAGTTATTTTTGAACCTCCCCCCGCTTATAACTTTCCAAGAAGAACTAACGTTTTCTCTACAGAGTACTGTGATAACCCAGCACTTTTTTCCCATAATGCTCTGCAGTAATGAATGGAACTCCTTTAGACATGAATTGTAATCATGCCGATGTCTGTATGCACAATCATGTTGCAGTACTTTAAGAAGTTTCCATTTCTGACATTCCTGTGATGTTCCCGCGCTACCCTATGCTCTTCCCGCCCAACAGATCACCGCACTGTAATGATTTAATGAGATGATTTCACCGTGTGTGGTCTGCGTTGCACAAGTGCCCAATTTTAATTAACTTCTCAGTCAGTAGTTAAGCTGTTATACCCATTATGTGTCCTGGCTTGTGTAATTTTAAGATGGTGTCCTTGTCGGGAAAGATCTCTGAATCTGTAGCAATTTTTGTAAAATATTTTCCCCTTTGAGGCGAATTTAAAGTAGACCTGTCTGTTCTAACCCGCTAGAATTAATTTTACAGATTAAGTCCATGCACTAGCATGCGCCCCCTCTTATGGTTTTGAGGGACTGTCACTTCAGGATGCCCCAGCAGCATGGATGACAGTAGTAGGCCATCGATGCCATTGGGCATGGACGGCCTGTAGTAGGCCATCGATGCCATTGGGCATGGACGGCCTGTAGTAGGCCATCGATGCCATTGGGCATGCGACGGCCTGTAGTAGGCCACTCCCAGTGTATCCCACATGTAGCATTAAAAGGCCATCGATGCCATTGGGCATGGACGGCCTGTAGTAGGCCATCGATGCCATTGGGCATGCGACGGCCTGTAGTAGGCCACTCCCAGTGTATCCCACATGTAGCATTAACAGGCGCTTGGGATTATGGGACATGTTGGTGGCATTTTTTCAGTGCTGACCGTTCTTGGTTCAGTAAGCTGCAGGCCCCTTAAGGGTTGGGCGGTTTCTGGTGTCCTCAGCAGGTAGTGGCTGGGGGTTCCGGTTGGTGCTTGGCCTTGATCTACAAAATTGTAGCTGTTATCAGGAAAAGCCTTTAAGCTGTTAATTTTAAAGGAAGCTGCCGGTCATGAGAAATATGGAGTCTCTTTGCTGCCCCCTTTCTGAAAATGATTGCCTGGTTGTCTCATGGACTGGAATGCGTATAAATATAGGGAACTGACCTGCATGTGTTGCATTCTTGGTCCCTGACTCGGATGTATTGAATCCATACTCTCAGGCAAGTAGCATTTTTATGAAGGAGGTGAGAAATGGAAGCCCCCAATTTCTCTCATAGCATTCATTAATGTACAGCCATCCACTCGCTAGCTTCCATTAGAGCTAAAGTTTGTGTGACCTGAGCCCTTACCTGAAATCATAGCTTAAAATGACTTGTTGAGGGACAGCCTGGATAATGAATATGGTAGATCCCGTCGCACTCCGAACCGGAAAACACCAACGTGCGAGGGGGGTGCTGGAGCGACCACAGATGCCTCTGCATGTCAAACTGTAACTGGTAGAAAGTCGCCCTCCAGAAACATATTTTTATTGGCCATCGAAGTGTCACAGGACTTTAGCGACATTTCGAGACTGTCTGGTCTCAGACAAAACGTGCGTCCAGATTAGCGGGCTGGGGGAGTGTCCTGGACTAAGCTGCATGTAACATCAGTGGAGATCTGAGACCTGGTCACTGGTGTCTCGTTTTGCCTGAAGAAGAGACCAGATGGTCTTGAAACGTCGTTGAAGTTATGTGACACTTTGGTCAATAAAAAAAGATTGACTACAAAAGTTTCCGGAGTGCGAGTGACTTTCCACCAGTTCCGGCCTGGATAATGAAACGCAGAACTGGATAGTTTTTAATGGTGGTCTAATTGCAGCCAGACCTTCTCTACATAGGTGGTTTCAGATGAGCAACCAGGGCTTACACAGCCCCTAGCTCTCCTCCAGTGATTGATACCCTGAGTACTGTAAATCACTGGAATCCTTGCTACATTTAGGAATTAGCTTTTTTGTTTTTTTCTGTTCCAGGTAGTGTTCAGAGCAGCCACGTGCAGGAAATCACTGTAGCCAATCAAATTTCAGTCAACGGTTGTGATCTGAAATGTTGGTTGATGCTGCACTTCATATGCTGCTTTGTGTCCTATGATAGAATTTCATTTGTAGTAATTTATATGGTATGATTGTTGACTTCGTGGATGAATGTACAAGCCCAACAATTTGTATGCAGTACATAATCACTTTGTCTTTACACATCATTGTTCTATTTGCCATATATCCTCTTTATCCGTATATATATTCTTTCAACCCAGATCTATGGAGACCATTGGTGTCACTTGGCCATAGCCTGGCTCTTGATCTATAGAAACCATTGGCGTTACTTAGACATAGCCTGGCTCTTGATCTATGGAGAGCATTGGTGTCACTTGGACATAGCCTGGCTCTTGATCTATGGAGACCATTGGCGTTACTTAGACATAGCCTGGCTCTTGATCTATGGAGACCATTTGTGTCACTTGGACATAGCCTGGCTCTTGATCTATGGAGACCATTGGCGTTACTTAGACATAGCCTGGCTCTTGATCTATGGAGAGCATTGGCATCACTTGGACATAGCCTGGCTCTTGATCTATGGAGACCATTGGTGTCACTTGGCCATAGCCTGGCTCTTGATCTATGGAGACCATTGGTGTCACTTGGACATAGCCTGGCTCTTGATCTATGGAGACCATTGGTGTTGCTTAGCCTGGCTCTTAAAACAACTAGTATCACCGAGAATGAGCTCTGGTAATGCCGTCTTAACAACTTTGACATCGCTAACTGTACACGTTAAACTTTGAGTGCATTTTTCCTCCACCTCAGGATTCAAACTGATCGTTTTAATCTTGTAGAACCAAAGATTTAGTAGTCTTCAAAACAAGTTAGCAATGAATGTACAGTAATTCAATCACTTTTTAAGTGGACCGATCATAGACCATAGGAGCCATTTTGTTTTCCTCTAAGCCAGACCAATGGTTTACTAGTAAAAGAGGAGATGTGATACTCTTGTAGAATTGGGAATCCGCTCGGAGCTCAAAATGGCTCTAGGTGGTCATGTGACGGGTTCACTTAGCTTTACATTAACTTAGTATGGTTTCTAAAAAATGATCCCCTTCTCATGTTCCTGGTTATACCTGCATCCAGCTGTGTAAAGACCGTTCCGTTCCCAGTACGGAAAAGTTTGCACTGACATCCACCGTATCCAGCCATCGGATCTTAATTTATATATATTTTTCTTCTCATTTCTTTAGACCCTTTTTATGCTTTCAATCTGTATTTATAAACTGCTTATGTGTATTCAGTTGTATTGTGAATAAAGATTTTTTTTCATCAGATTTGTCTTTTTTTTATTGGAACATCTGAAGCCATGTTTGCAGCATCAAACACGTCTATTTAGGAGCTGCTGCATCCAAAAACTTGGTACAAGTCAAACGCTGCCAGAGAACTGACATCAACATTTACACCATTTAAACAAAAAAAAGCGCCTCATTCAGGAGAACGTCTGTCTACATAAGCCCAAAAAATAGATCAAGGCAACCGGACATGCTGTATTTTTCTTGATGTCTTCATCCGACTATATCTCAATTCTAAATGACTTGGAACAAAATGTATCTGGTAATAAATAGGGGAATTGATTCATTTGTTTGGATGACGCCAAGATTATTTATTATACAGGATTTATATAGCGCCAACAATTTGCTCTGTGCTTTACAAAATAGTGGAGACTGTACAGTTACAATACAGTTTCAGAACAATAGGGTTGGGAGGGCCCTGTCAGTGAGAGCTTACAATCTAGTAGGAGGGGCAAGTGATACAAAAGGTAATGGTTTGGCTTTGAGTCATCGGAGGAAGTTAAAGGCAGTTATGTTGAGATGAGATGGGCTTCCCTGCAGAGATAGGTTTTTAGGGGTTGCTTGAAGGTGTGCAGCGCAGGAGAGAATAGGGGAGGGACACTCTGGAGAAGTCCTGGAGGCGAGCATGGAAGGAGGTAAAGAGAGCTAGAGAGCAAGAGGTCTTGAGGGGAGCTAAGAGGACGGTTTGGGTGATATTTTGAGATGAGGTCAGTGATGTAGGTTGGTGGAGCTGTAGATGGCTTTGTATGGTTAGTATTTTGAATTTTATTCGTTGGGCAAGTGGGAGCCAGTGGAGGGACTGGCAGAGGGGTTGGGGATGGAAGCCAGTGGAGGGACTGGCAGAGGGGTTGAAGGGGCATACTGTATATTATCTACCACATACAATGCTGTTTTTACACCTCTGGCCAGCTTAGAGTGGATCTTCACCCATATCTTTAAAATGACGACAAACACCTTTTCAGAAATGTTTAGTAATGACAATCTACAAACTCATACTTCTAGATCATTGGCAGCTTTTTATTCTTTGCATACCTGATTTTTCTTTCACAGTGGCTGTTAACT